TTTTTTAAAGTAAAAAAGAAGGGTGCCCCAAAAGTCGGAGCGGTTGTAGTATTTCCAGATTAACTTCCTTATTCTCAATAGTGACTTGATTGCCAATCAGATTCTGACTTCTTTTTAGGACATATAAGCCATCTTGCAGTCTACCAGTGCCAATAATCTTCCCTGTTTGAAGATTCTGAAAGATATAATAATTAAGAAAAAATTCAATTTTACAGTTTAGATATCGAATAATGACACTAATAGATAAAAAACTATTAGAAAAACTAGACACATGTAAAACTGAAGATAGTGTAATAATTGGGGTATAATTAATGGAACTTGTTCTAAACACAGGAGTATATGACCCATCTGCTATACAAACATTCTCTTCTTTAGTACAAAAAAAATATGTTAGAAATTTAGTGGAAGAGTTTGTCATGTGTCTGTTAGCTTCAGAATTTATTACTCAAATATTAGGAGCAGAAATAAGGGAGAGAGAAGGAATACCTGATTTTACCATATTTGATGTATCAATAATTGTTGAAGAGTTGAGTTGAGACAAAATATGTTTTAAACTTTAAAACTCTTCAGTTGAAAAAGCTCCAATAGTTGGTGTGTCAGGTGCTTCACTTGCCTCAATCAAGTTTGCTTGAGCTCTCATAGGTCCTCATTTTCTTCTCTCACGACTTCTAGTGGGTCGTCCATGCAATTTTCAACAAGTCTCCTTAGTGTGTTTTGGCTTGTCACAATAATCACAATTCCATTGGTCGTTGGAGTGATCAGACTGAGCAATTAACGCGATTTTTTCAACTGGTGCTATGTGGAGCATGACAATTTTTCTACTTTTTTCTTATTGAACATAAGAATAAGCTTGTTCTAATTAAGAAAGGAGATCTTTACCAAGTATTTGGATCCGTATATGATCATATTCGACATTCAGATTAGTTAAGAAATCATAAATCTGCTCATTTTCTACCATTTTCTGAAATTTGACAGCACCTCTGGAGCCATTTGCTCGAAAATCTTGATAGTAATCGAGTTTCTGCCATGGTTCACTAAGTTCAGAAAAATACTTAAAGATAGTCAACTCTCTTTGTTTTGTGCTGTGAATCTTATTTCAGAGTTCATAAATTTGAGTATCATTACCCACTTGTGAATATGTAAGAGACACTGCATTTTATATTTTTGTTGCAGTATCGAGCAACAGATATGTTCGGGTAATGTGAGGTTGCATGGAATTAATGAACCAAGACATTACCAAAGAGATTTTGGAGTCCCATATGTGATATTCCAAACTATTGACATCTGGTTTCTTCTTATCACCAGTAATATATCCCTGCAGTTTCTTGCCTTTGATAAACAATTAATAAGATCTTGAGCAAGTAAGATAAGTAGTTTCATCAAACTTTACAGGACTTATTTGCAATGATGAGTTGTTAGAATTAGGAACAATTAGTTTTTTTGCTTCTGTCATGTTTAAGTACTAGAAACAAGAAAATAATATTTAGTATGGAATATCACAGAGAGAGAACAAATCTCCTAAAAACCACCAAAGCCATGCAAGACTAGAGAAATTTACCAGAAACAAGTGTTGGAACAAAACAACAGATGACAAAAAAAAAAAAAACACAGAGAGAATCAAAAGCTTGAAGCTGGAAAAACAGAGTAGCCGTTGTTGGAAACTTGAGATGAAGTAGCAGTCATGTGTGAACCAAAAGACCGCTTCGGGTGTGTGCGACAGAACCAGACACCGTGTGCAAAGGAGCTGGAGGAGCAACGAGAACCAGAGGCGCCAGGTGTGTGTGACCGAACCAAGAAAATGTGCCGGGTGTGCACGATGGAACTAGACACCATGTGCGA